GCAAGAGAGATTACTTTGGTAACATATTGTTTCAATTAATCTATTTTAGAAAATTAGTAATCTGAAATAAATTTGAAGTACCAAAATTTGAAATCAATTGTCCATTTATATTTTATTTATTTATTTTATAAAAATATGAACAATCCACCCTGCCCCACCCCACCCCACCTTAGACAGGACGGGGCGGGGACTTGCCCCGTTTTTTTTTAATTTTTAGTTAAAATAAAAATTCAAAGCAAATAATGTTCAAACCAACTATATCAATATCCAAAGCAAGCACTCGAAACAAAAAAATATCCAAAACAAACAATATTCAAAACAAAATTTTTTTTTCCCCGCCCCGCCCCGTTACCTGAGACGATGCTGCGAACCTCGCCCTGTCCTTCCCCGCCAACCCGTTCGGGACGGGGTGGGGAAAATTGTCATCTCTACCGCAGTGCCCTCATCACTTAACTGTTTCCAAAAAATGGGATTGTCTGCCTTTTTCTATAGTAGATAATAAGCAAAATTATTGGATTTGAATCACCATCCAAAAAAAAGCCCAAAATAATTAAAATAGTAATAACTCTCCGTCGATAAAACCAAACTAACGCATGTGTGAAGCACGTTTCTCATTCCAAAATTCTCTTAAATATATATAATTGAACTAAGCATCAAAACAGCTCATTCATGAGAAGCAAGTTAAATTCGACATTAAATTAACCAATATAGTGTGCTGAGAATTGTCAAATGATTACCTCAAATCGAAGAGCCATCTAATAAATATACTCCCCTTCCCTCCGCACCACTCACCAAATAAGAATTAATAGGAGGGCTTCCGGAAACTAATGGAGCGGGGCGGCGGGAGAGGGAGCCCTTAATTCTTGCATTTAAAATTAAAATTGAAACTCCCTCTTTCTTCTCACAATATAAATTGCTATCATAATATGTTCTTTCGTACAGAAACTTTATCCAAAATTAACAAAACTTGATCCAGAAGAAAAATCTCAAAAATTCTTAATTTCGAATTTTAGGACTAAAATTCGCATCCTTAAATTTTAAAACATTCAACCCAAAAATTATTTCTTTATTTTCAATTGTTTAACATGGAATTGGCTCTGATACTACTTGTAGAAATTTTATAAACCTTTAAACTTTATAAAATTAGAAAACATAATTGCCTAATTGTCAAGATTCTCAATGTCAAATCATCAAGAAAATTAATAATGCAGAACATACATTAATTCTTTGAGAATAATTTCTTATTACTGAATCTTGATTTCAATTTTTGAATCTTGATTGTTGGCTCTTTTGCTTCTTGATCTTAATTTTGCTTCTTGTTTCATAATTTTGATTGTCTTGTTTTTCAATTTAATTACTCCAATCCTTTTTTCTTGATTCTTGATTGTAATCTAGATTCTTGATTGTGGGTTCCGTGATCGTACTCTTCAATATGTTTTCTCTATTAATTCTTGTATTTCTTGTGTTGATGGAATAATACAAAGAATGAGAAATTATATATGGATTGGGGACCATAACCCTATTTATAATTTGAGGAAATTACACCCACCCCTATTTTTAGATTACCATTTTCAAAAATCCTGAATCAAGTTTCATATTACAAAATTCAGGTTTTAATTAATAATTTAAAAATATTTTTTATTTTTATTTTTATATCTATTTACAATAAATTAATTCATATATACTCCCCCCACCCCATCTAACTCCAAACCCTAAAATCAATTAACCAATTACCTCTCCATCTCATCCTCCACCCCTCCCCCCCTCTCTCTCTCTCTCTCTCTCACCAAACGTCGTCGCCGACGCCTCATCTCTTTTCCTTCTCTCAACGCCGCCGCCGCCACCACGACGTGGACTCTTCTTCCACTCATCTCTCTATCTCGTTTTCACTCTCTCTCGTCTTCTTCCACTCGTCAGCCACCTCTCTGTCTTCTCCCCTCTTTCTCGTCTTCTCTCTCTCCACCCCGACCGTCGCTATTTACTCCAGTTGCGATGGTCGGGTGTTTGTGCGTGGGTGCGGCGATTTTTGGTTCGGCAGATCTGTGTTTGGTGTGTAGGTGCGGCAGATCTGTTATTTGTGGAGGTGCGGCGGTCGTGGGAGGAGCAGATTTGATTGGGTGTTGTTAGGTGCAGATTTGTTTTGGGTGTGGTTGGGCGGCGGGTGCAGTTGGTTGTGTTCTGTGTGCGGTTGTGTGTGTTCTGTGTGCAGTTGGGTGTGTTCTGGTGTTCGCGATGGATCGGGCACTGCGAAATTGAGGATCCGACGTTGGTGGCGGCGGTGGTTGTGTGTTCTGCATTGTTTTGGTCGTACGTGTGGCAATGGTGGTTTTGGTGTGGTGATAGTGGTGTGGGGGAGGATGGTGGTTCCGCTGGTGGAGGCAGTGTCAAATGGCGAAGTGGTAGTCACAAATGATTTTGGTGGTGGTCACAAATAATTTAGATGTTTGTGACTACTAATTTGGTTGGTTGGCGACCAATAAACAATATGTGACCAATGAATTAGATAAAATGTGACCAATACATGATATGTGACCTAAAAATTATTAATTTGTGACCACGAATTTAAAAAATTGTGACCTAAATATACATAAAATAAGTAATGTGACTTATAATTTTGTGATCTGTGACCGACGAATAAATTGTGACCTAAATTTTTTTGAATTGTGACCTAAAAATATAGATCTGTGACCTTAACATATTCACCGAAGTTGGAACATTTGCCGGAATCGGAGCAGTTGTCGGAATAAAGTGGCTGTGGAATGGTCGCTGAAATAGTCGCGGGAATCGGATCAGTCGTCAGAATCGTCGTCGGAATAATCACCGGAACAATCGTCGGAGAAGAGTTGTGACCGGAGAAAAGTGATGGTGGAGGTGAGGTAAGTTAATTATATCATATTAGAATTAAATATTAATAATAAATTAAATTAATAATTATTATTTCATAACTAAAAATTTAAAGAAACCTGATGTTTGAAATTTGAAACTTGTTTTTGGATTTTTGAAATGGGTTAAAGTAAATACCTGATTTGTGTATTGTAAATACCTGATTTGTGTATTGTTCCCTTATAATTTTCATTGTATTTGCCCCATCATCAAATACAACCCTAATGGATCTGGTCTCTACTCATGTAATTCGGCTCATACTTTATTTAGATGTTCTAAATCCAAAAATTTAATTATTTATTAGATCACTTTAATTGGACTCAACTTTAAGATAATCTTATACACAATTAATTATATATGTAGGCTCACAAATTAATAAATCCAACAAGTCATACAAATGTGATAGTTTGGGGACACTTTGCCAAACATATTTACAATGTTGGTCTATTTTAAAAAAATCAAGGGATATGTGTACATAACTTATAATATAATGATGTACATAACGGATATATGAATGCCAGGACACCATCATGGGAAATGTATATTTCCCAAAAATCAAAAGTTACGTAGCCTTGATCCTAGTGTGAAGCATCAACCACGTGGTGGAATACCCGGGCTTCACAGGTCTCTCTTTACTCACAAATCGTATGCGTGGCATAGAAGTTGAAGGTTGCAGAGTTCAACTGGCCGATTTATAATTTTGTGATCTGTGACCGATGAATAAATTGTGACCTAAATTTTTTTGAATTGTGACCTAAAAATATTGATCTGTGACCTTAACATATTCACCAATGTTGGAACATTTGTCGGAATCGGAGCAGTTGTCCGAATAAAGTGGCTGTGGAATGGTCGCCGAAATAGTCGCCGGAATCGGATCAGTCGTCAGAATCGTCGTCGGAATAATCACCGAAACAATCGCCGGAGAAGAGTTGTGACCGGAGAAGAGTGATGGTGGAGGTGTGGGTGAGTTAATTATATCATATTAGAATTAAATATTAATAATAAATTGAATTAATAATTATTATTTCATAACTAAAAATTTAAAGAAATCTGATTTTTGAAATTTGAAACTTGTTTTTGGATTTTTGAAATGGGTTAAAGTAAATACCTGATTTGTGTATTGTTCCCTTATAATTTTCATTGTATTTGCCCCATCATCAAATACAACCATAATGGATCTGGTCTCTACTCATGTAATTCGGCTCATACTTTATTTAGATGTTCTAAATCCAAAAATTTAATTATTTATTAGATCACTTTAATTGGACTCAACTTTAAGATAACCTTATACACAATTAATTATATATGTAGGCTCACATGACAAATTAATAAATCCAACAAGTCATACAAATGTGATAGTTTGGGGACACTTTGCCAAACATATTTACAATGTTGGTCCATTTTAAAAAAATCAAGGGATATGTGTACATAACCTATAATATAATGATGTACATAATGGACATATGGATGCCAGGACACCATCATGGAAAATGTATATTTCCCAAAAATCAAAAGTTACGTCGCCTTGATCCTAGTGTGAAGCATCAACCACGTGGTGGAATACCCGGGCTTCACAGGTCTCTCTTTACTCACAAATCGTATGCGTGGCATAGAAGTTCAAGGTTGCAGAGTTCAACTGGCCGAAGATTGCCACGTGTTATCTCTCTGACATAGACTGCCCCCTCTCTCCCCGCCAACTTCGCTCACCCTCTCACAGGTTTACAAGCATTAGATGCCCAAAACTCATGACCCAGAAAATAACACCGTTCAACCCACCCCAAAAGTGCATAATTTTCAAGAGAATAAAAGTAAATCGGGGTTACTTTGTAAAATTTCGGTCTTTAATTTGGTCCCTACGTGGATAAATCAATCCATTCCAGTTCTTGAACAGTTTCATGCTAGGAAGACATTTGTGGGTTATCGTGCTTGAGTTTCGTCTTTCAAGGATGTGATTCGGTAAGTTTTGGATAATATGTGATTGTAAACATGTCTAGGGGCATTATCGTTCCAATGAGGGATGACCCACCTGGGATTTTTCTTATTAGGAGCATTAGGGGAAAAGGTTGGAGTTTAAATACTTATAGATACATGGTTTTGGTAATAACGTTCATAGCATATACTAGTTACCATGCTTCAAGAAAACCCAGTAGTATAGTCAAAAGTGTCCTGGATCCGAACCCGAATAGTAATTCGAACCGGATTCTTCCCTGGCCCGTTGGTGATATCTTTATTGGGAAGGAAGTAATGTTTACTAATACTAGCATTGATGCGGTTAGATTTAGAGAAAACAAGGGCTGGGCACCATTTAATGGAGAGGATGGGACATCGAAGTTGGGCGAGATTGATGTTGCATTTCTTGCTTGTTATTCGATAGGAATGTATGTGGCAGGGCATTTAGGCGATAGATTGGACCTTCGGTTGTTCTTGACTACTGGAATGATTGGAAGTGGCATTTTTGTGATGCTGTTTGGAATGGGTTACTTTTGGAACATTCACGTTTTCTGGTTTTATTTAGTAATGCAAATGGTTGCCGGGTTGTTCCAAGCGACGGGGTGGCCTTCAGTTGTTGCCGTTATTGGTAATTGGTTTGGCAAGAGGAAGAGGGGACTAATCATGGGTATTTGGAATGCTCACACGTCGGTAGGAAATATCAGTGGATCGTTGCTTGCTGCTGGTGTTTTGGATTATGGGTGGGGCTGGTCTTTTATTCTTCCAGGCGCGTTTATATTCCTGGGTGGGATAATGGTGTACATGTTCTTGGCTGCTTATCCTGAAGATGTTGGATTCCCTGACCTAGATGGTTCACCTGTGGAGGCTGCAGCATTGCCTGATGACGTTGAAACTCAGATTTCGAAAGTTAGTATTGCTGGAAATGAGCAGAATACTGACGCCCAGTTAACTTCCGTCAACAGGAGAAGTGTTGGGCTTCTTGAAGCTTGTTTAATACCCGGTGTGATTCCATTTGCACTATGTCTTTTCTTTGCAAAGCTGGTGGCGTACACATTTTTGTACTGGTTGCCGTTTTATCTTAGCCACACCGGTATTCCCCTATTCCTAGTATTTCATTAATCTTATATCTCTATCAATGTGTTTGTGTACCTGCATGTTTGTCATCTGTCTGTGTGATATTCTTTTCCTCCAAGGTGACAGCGCTAAATAAGGAATTCAAGCGAAAACTTAAAAAACATAATTTTTGGAATCCACCAGATTATGAGAAATAAATTCATGAAATTTTATTAGTGTAAGATGACGAAAAACGATGAATTAACTCTTTATTTATAAGGATTTGCATGAAAACCTAGTTTAAACCAACTAAAATTGAAAAAAATTCAAAACAAACTAAATGACAAAAATAGCACTAAAACTTTAAATGCAGTTTTCGAATCCTAAACGAATTCGGATGGCCAAAATCCATCTTATGTCACAACTGTGAGTTCTACTCATCTCGTCGATCTCTTTTCGAAATGGTATTATGGGCCGAAATCGGAGGTCGGCTACCACACCTACAATATCATCTTTTTTCATTTTCGGTCCAATTCTTTTTCAATTCATTCAGCCATCTATTCTATATCATGTTTGGTCCTTTATCACTTGGCACTTGTACTAATATAGCAAGAAATAGCCAATTCTAGGAATACTAGAACTGCACGGTTCTCCTTGATTTGCAAATTGCTACCGTCGTACTTTAAGAACCAAAATGAAATGATTAGTTCTAGATAGGAGATTCCACGCGCAACTCTCCTTGATTAGGAGCTTGGTGAAAACCTTGAACTATGTTCAGTGGGGAGAAGGAGATATTAAATATTTTTGTGATCTAATGTAGTTGAGTCAAGTCAGTGTATCGTAGTTGGGCAAAATATTTACCGAAGTCCATGAGATATGTCACATATAGGGATGTTTTTATAAATGTTGTAGCACATCAATTGATAAAGTGAATCGAGATTCCAGTGGGTTAAAAGTTGTAGTTAGTATCTACTCCAGTCTACCCTTGGGAGGATTAACCACACCAAGGTGCAACAGGATAGATATGAGTGAAAATATGAGCTCATAAGCATGCTCATTAGGTTAAGATCATTCATTATTGTGATCCAACGAGCTTTCTATTAGTTGCTTCAGTCCTCGAAACCGCAAAGATGGCTAAATGTTCGTTCTAATTTCTAAAACAATTTAGGAAGGATACAGAACACTTTGAATACATATGCTTATATACTAAAAAACATCCATATGCTCGCACATGTGCTCATGCCAGGGCGTACACATATATAAATAGATAGGGTGAGAGCATGAGGGTTTTGTACACACACAGCATCACGTTGAAATATATGGAGATGCATTTAGTTCCTAGTCTAGGTTAATTGGTGTTTCTTTTAATTCTTGGTGGTTAAATAATGAAAACTGCATAAGAAACATATGCACCCTCTATGTCGAATTATGTGCCATGGCATGGATAGGAATAGCAATTAGGAGTCCTAAACCTGTGATTTTGCATATTTATCTAATTTTATTCCTTAATATGACATTAGAATGATATGTGGTGTTGTGTTTTTTTTTAAATAACTTGGAACTAGTAAATGATATAAGTTGGTATTATTTCTTAAGGCCGTTGGAAAGAATGATTGAGAAAGAAACTTTTTGTAGGAGAAGTGGACATTAATTTGAGACTTAATCAACAAGAGATTAATTCAAATTCGATGGTGTATAATAAAGAAGTTTTCCTGAAAAGTAATTACTCTTGGGCACAAAGCGTAGCTGCAGATTTGTGGTGTTCCATTCAGTTTTGATAATTTGTGGTGGTCCATTCAGTTTAAAGAGCCAGACAGAAATAATTGTTGATGTTATATTGATATTCATTGATTAAAGAATTAATTAAGACTGCTTAGTAAAACCCCTTGAAGTCATTGCTCTGTACATCCATCCATTTTCCTTGTATAATTTCTTGGAAACCCATGTAAAAGGTTTGATCCTGTTATTTTTGTTGACTTTTATCTCTTATCTCCCACCCACCACCCTTGCTCAGCAAGAGAAAAAGTAGAAAAATTATGAAGGGTGCCTCTCTCGCTCTCCTTCCTTTTAAATTTAAATTGTAGTATATGGAGAAAGCCCATCAGATCCAGACTGTGAGATTCAGCCTCAAACAAAATTTACTGATTGGAATAGTTGATTAATACTGAAGAGTGCTTTTGGAACTGGAAATGAATTTAAGAAAATTTAACACTTCTTTGCTGGAGTCATTGAAAGGAATGATTGCGAGAGTATCTGGGATGTTGACTCTTTTAGAGTCATTGTCACTCCAAAAATAGCCAAACTCACTCTTTCAGTGTCAACTGCCTAACGTGTTTGAATACCTCCTTTTTCTCTTTGATTTAATGATGGTGGACACAACGCACTGCTCAATACAGTTCTAATATTAGACGCGATACTGTTGTCTTCTCTGTTATGTTTGAAATAACACTTCCGTCCTATGATCTAATGCTGATAGACATAAAAAACATCTCTTAATATAGTTCTAATTTGTTTGTTTTGAATTTTGTTTTTGAGGGTTATTGATCTTGTGTTTAAGATTTCTGTTTCTCATCCGGGTTCCTCTCATACTCTTGCAGCAATTGAGGGTCAGTATATGTCAGTGAAATCTGCTGGTAATCTTTCTACTCTGTTTGATGTCGGAGGAATTGTTGGTGGAGTTCTGGCTGGTTACATATCTGATGTTTTTAAGGCTCGGGCCATTACAGCAGCCAGCTTCATGTATGTTGCAATCCCTGTGATGCTTCTATATCGTGCCTATGGAAACATGTCGAAGGCCATCAACATTGTACTCATGATGATAGCTGGTTTATTTGTTAATGGGCCATATGCACTCATCACAACTGCAGTCTCTGCCGATCTAGGGACTCATAGCTCTCTAAGAGGAGATTCTCGAGCACTGGCAACAGTCACCGCTATTATTGATGGTACTGGATCTATTGGTGCTGCTCTCGGTCCTCTTTTGACTGGATTTCTTTCAACAAAAGGCTGGGATGCGGTTTTTGTTATGCTAACAGTTGGAGCTTTTACAGCGGGTCTCCTTTTATCTCAGCTTGTCGTAACTGAACTTAGGGAGAAATTTTGTAAACAGATGCCCAGTAGACAAAATGATCTTGCAGGTGACATTTTCTCTCTTTTATACTTCCTGTATTGTTTCTGCTTGTGTTCGACTGTTCCTCATTGTCATGATTTTTATTTCTGTACTACCTGATATGTGAGATTAATAAACTGGAAAGCTGGAAGCCCCGAATAGATGCATGTACAGAGAACAAAATTCCAGAATGGTTGCATTTTTTAAACACCACATAATTTCATCTTTATATTTAAATAATGGGAAATTTAGACAAGTTATTTCTTGTCTAGTGTGTTTAACATCCAGGAATATGTAGCTAACAATTGATTATATCCGGGTAGAGTGTCTGGCTTGGCATGAGGTGTCATCATAAAATGGAAGATGGAACTTTCATGGCATCCTTAGTTTCTCTAACTAGTGACTTATGGGACAGGCTTGAAAAGTTAGGCATTTTAGATATGTCTAACGTCAAAAAAGGATGAATTCTGCAAAGGTTTAAGGTCTTGTCTCCTATAATACGGACTATATACAGCTTGAACTTTAGATTTGACTTGATTCTGTGTGCATTGTTCTACTTAGCCTAGAATAATGTATCCGTTTGAATGTATGAGTTGGGCTGATGGATGATCATGCAACCTGCAATAGCATTTTCTAAAGTTGCCTTTATACTTCATTTACTCCTATTTGGATACAATTTATAAGTGGGTTTATAAATTTAGTCAAAGCTAAATATTAATTTCAACGATACATTCATAACTACTACCCATTATTATACATACATTTTGTGGGGGCTCACTACTATTCTTATTTATAAACCATTTATAAATTTTCCATATGGGGGCTTTTTCTTTGTCCATTCTTGTCCTTCGATTTGAAAGTAGGATCTTTGTGATGCAATGTTTAATGCTTAAAAGCACAAACTTGAGAAATTGTAGGTTCACACAGTGTAAGATTATGAAATTTCTTTTGCCAAAGTAAGTTCATCTTTGTGGAAAAATTGGAGAGTTGTGGCATTTTCAATGACGCACCTCATAAATACATAGAGACTGGATTTGTCTCCTTCTCGTAACATAGAAATGCTGGGGTCATGAGTGGAAGGGCACCAATGATAAGCTGTAACGACCTGAGTTCCGTGAACACGGATTGACACGTCATCTTCATTTGTAACTGAATTAACTAAAAAGGTTTGCAGAAAATAACTAAATTTTAAAAACATCACATTTATAAAGGTAAAACCCCGTCGGCAACAAAACTCATTTGATTAACTTAAGAAATTTGATTAAACTTTAAATTTCGAGTTTCTGAAATAATTGAAATAACAAAGTACGTTAATAATGTTCAAATACGTAATTTCTCAAATGTAAATAATTTCATCCATTAAATCGTTGCCATCACTGCCCATCAAACCCGACCGTCTCCAAAATCTGCAAATGTCGTTAAAATAACGAAATGAGTATTTCGATGAAATACTCAGTAGACTCGTCGCCGATAATTAATTTACAAAATAATTGAACACATAATGATGCAAAATATACAGTGACATCATCATCATCATCATTGGCTCATTTTCTTGAAAATCATAGGCTCTTTAAAATCGTAGGGTATGGGTAGTCTCGTCTCATGCATTTAAGCATATAAGTTATGCATAACATTCTCATCTTATCTCATAAGAGATATTCGTCTATTCTCATGCATTTAAGCATATAAGTTATGACAAGCATAACATCATATATCTCATAAGAAATATTCTCATCTTATGCATTAAAGCATATAAATAACGTAGATTCACATAATACATGCAATTATAATTTAAACTAATTAATGGTGGCGAGTCTACCTCAAATTATCTCGAGTCTCGTAAAAAGTGGAGCGGGACGTAACCTCAATCTCCTAATCGTCCGTACGTTTCGTCTAGCCAAAATAGAAAATAGGTTTTAAATTAGTATTCTGAAATTTAAAGTTTTAAAGCGATAAAATAAAGTTTAGAGACCTAATTGGATATTTATTAAAACTGAATTTGACAAGTTTAAGGCCTGAAAATAATATTTTCAAAGTAATGGGACTAAATGTGGGAAATAAGAACTCCAGTGACTGATTTACTAATTATTGAAACTTTGGAGGACTTAAAATAATGTAAATAAAGTTTAGGGGCTAAATTGGAAATTATTGAAACTGCAAATAAGAATTTAAGGACTGAAATTAAACTTTTCTAAAATAATGGGCTAACTGCTGAAAACAGGAACTCCAGGGGCTGTTCTATTAAAAACGAAACTCTAGGGACTGAATTGAATACTTTTAAAACTTTGGGGCTTAGGGCTAAATTTCCAAAATCAAAATATAACAAAAATCATTTCTTACTCCCTTTCTCTCTCATTTTGACAGAGAGAAGGGAGAAGAGGGGGGCGTCGGCCAGTAGGCCGTCGTCGGCGCCACAGTCGCGTGGTGGCGCCGGTGCTTCGTGGGAGGCTGTGGGGTTTTGGCGCACGAATTGGGAGTTAACTGAGGCTTGGAGGTTCGAACTCCTAGTGGAAATCAAGCTAAAAAGATTGGGGTATGAGGTAAGTTCTTGGTCCTCTTGTTTCTTGTTTCTTGTTTCTTAGAGCTGTTTGAGGTGGAATTTGGGTGAAATAGGGCTGTCGATTTTTTGATGAAATAGGGGCTGTTCGGTGTCGGGGTTATAGTTGGCGTTGCTGGTGGTTGTCAAGTGGGTGGAAACTTCGGTTGTGCTGGGTTTGCATTTAGTGGTTCGATAAAATGGGTGTTTGCAGCTGGGTTTGGGTGACTGGTGTCGAGTTGTGTGAAAACGGTGAGGTGGAAGGTGAACCCTATTGCAGTTGCTGCAACCGGCTTTGGTGGATGGGGATTTGGCTGTGTTGAGGCATGCGAATTTTTGTGGAATCATCATGTTGATGATGGTGGAAATGGATGTTCTAGCATCATCGAGAGTTTCCAATGTGAAATTGTATTGAGGTAAAATTTGAGGAAGAGTTTCTTACCCAGTGGTTTGGCTGCGTGAAGGAGTTGAGGGAAATGGGGGTAAATAAAATAGTGGATTTTTAGGGCACAAATTCCTAGGTAACCAATTGGGCCAAATAGTTGGGCCAAGCATTTGGATTGTTGGGGTTTTCAAATTGGGTTTAGGTGAAATGGACCTAAATAATCGAGACTTGGGCTAACAGAATTTTGGATTTTAGATAATAAAATATTGTACTTAAAACTATTAAAATTGGGATTTAAGAATGATAAGGAATCGAGATTCAGAATTGAACTTGATTTGAATGGATTTAAATTGGTTTTATAACGGCTAGACGAACACGCTTTCATTTTAAATTTTGGGGTTAAATCTTAGCGACACGTTTTTCAAGATAATAATTTAAAATTCTCGATCGCTACATAAGTATCCTTTTCGCTATGCAAAATAATTAAATTCTTCGTATAGATTTTTTACTTTACTTGCAATCGTTCAGAGAGCCGCGGGATCACTCACTTCTAGTTGTGATCGCTCCTGCCGGAATACAAATAATGAAAAGCTGGTGAAAGTGAAAGGATAGAGTAGAAGATTGATACTTGGAAAGAGTACACAATTTTAAGATTGTTCTTAATTTGGCTACCATTAAGATTATTGCAAGGAGGAACTTTATTTAGTCCTTCAAATTGTTGACCTCCGAATTTAGTTTGGACCTACAGTGTCAACTCATCCCTCCTCTCCAAGCATATGTTACATACACACTTGGAACGCGCGTGTTAGACAGGCAAGATTGTAGATTCTCTAAATACAAGGAGTGGGGAGGCCGCGGTCGTACAAGCTCCAATGTTCAAGTCAGTCAAAAAGTCAATAAGAGATATATTGAGTGCGAGAGTGACACTAAAGGAGAAAAATTTGGGAGACGGTTAATATTTGAGAAAGAGAATTAAAAAGGTTGAAATTATCCTTTTCAAGTCACCAAATGTAAGTCTTTATAGGCAATAGAAATAAGCTGTCTTCCAGATACTTTGCACATGACCTCATCCTAACGGCCCTCTAATCAAGCTTTATGACGTCACGTAGTTGTTTCCTAGGGCGTCAATAGGTTTACGACCCAACAAATTTTCCTAGATGAGAATGAAGGGATTTAACTCCCAGCCGTCGTGGCAATAGACATCCCATAAATCACATCTCACATGGCTTCATGTCGAAACAGTCACTTTCACAAGGCATCATGAATTGGATCTCAACCCATGTTGCATGGCTAAGGATTGAAAGTCCTGTGATCTCCCCAAAGAAGAGAGGCAACAATCGTGCAACAAGTTACATCACTTTAGAGGCAGTTGTCGATGAGGCATTGGGCCTTGCCCTTAATGCTTTAAGAAAGATAGTCCGAGAAGCGATTGAATGCTATCTCAACGCCTCAGAGAGATGTCGACGAGGCGATGAAAAATGGCCTCAGCGCATCTGAATCAATGGTGCTTTGTGGCATTTTTTGCTGAGTGCTAGAGGGTATTACACAAATAATTGTAGATTAGCGAATATGTTGGTTCTTTAATGCATTACATAATAGGATCAAGTGACATGGAGGTGCCATAGATGTAAAGAATACATATTGCACACTTTTCTATCGAGATACTTATCACTAAAGAAGAAAGACGTGCGGAAAATGCTTGGATGAAAATTCCATAGGATGGACTGGTGGTCAGATCTAGAAATTAGACTTAGGAGTTTGAGATCTTAGATAAAAAATTTCACTTGGCTGGAGGTAGGTCATTCCAATACTGAGTTTTATGGAAAATTCTAGATTTATGGGGGAATAAAAGGTATTGCCATATTTTGTTCTTGGTCACCACTATCTGGCCCTTGGCCTTCAATATTTACAATTCAACTTAGCCCTTCTTAACACTTTTTCTTCGATTCATTTATTCTTTCTTTTCCATTTTGTTTTAGATGAAAAGAAAGTTCTCTAGCAACTCGTACTGGTACTATAGAAACCCTGGCAAGCCACAGTAAAGGATCAAATACACAAAGTATTTATTTATTTATTGACATTAGCGATTCACAATATGGCCTAATTGTCTGTGTTTTCTAATCTTATTGTTTTTATTTCATTCTGGATCTTGGTAACAGTCGGAAATGTTTGTGAAGTTGATACTCATAAGAGTTCTGGGATTTATCATCATGATGCAACTCATGCCTTTTGCATTTTAGATACGTCCTCGGATTGGATATTGTTCAGAGAGTATCATTAAGAGTGTGTTTGTGACACATTCTTTTGAAAGAATGTATTATTGAATAGTAGAGTGATGGAGAACGTGTGGTTAAAAATGAAGGAAAAGTTATTGATGTGATGGAAAATATTATTTTATTGAAGAATGTGTGGTTAAAAATGAGTAGAAGAATGAGAATGAAAAAAATAATATATACCAAACATGGCCTAACCTTCTCATACTGTAGATTGATGGAGAATGTGTGGTTGAAAATGAAGGAAAATTTATTGATGTGATGGAAAATATTATTTTATTGAAAAATGTGTGGTTGAAAATGAGTAGAAGAATGAGAATGAAAAAAATAATGCGTACCAAACAGAGCCTAATAGAGTTTGCCATTTTATGAAATTTTTATGGCCATGGTGGGTCCTTTTCTTTGTTCAAATAATTTATGTAATAGCCAAAAAAAATGCGTACTTAAGTGGCATACTGAGTTTATCCTATAGTTAAAATGGTGATCTGTGAGCGGTATCTCTCTTCTATGCTATGGATTAACTGTTCATTATCATACCTTGAACACAACCAGTTCTGAATTTTGCATGGACAAATGTTGCATGTTCGACTTAGTATAACTTAATTAGAGTTCAGGCTTCTCTGCCACATTTTAAGTTATTGCGTCATTTTTCTGTTTATAATTTTTCTCCGATCTTCTATTAAAGTTGTGCTATATGTATATCATCTTTGTACGCGGATAGCAAATTAGTGCACGTTGTTAGTAGGATTATCATTAGACATATTTTTGGGACTATATCTGTGTACTTGTTTAAGAAAATCTACCCTTGTAGGTCCTGCACGTCAACCCCTTTTAAGCGAAAGGAGATGACCTCGTATCCTTCTGAAACAATTTGGATATCAAGTGAATCAGGAATACAAAGTGAACATCAAAAGTTGACTGCTTTTATAATTCTGAAACTTTATGTAATATCTTGCTGGGGAAATGGTAATTTCCTTCTATTTTTCCTTTCATCTGTTGTACAAGTTTGTGAATTGATGTATAAATCGTTTAAGTGATGAATTCTCATGATAGACTCAGGTGTCATATGGCAAAAGGTATGAATATCTACGTGTACGAATGCACTCAAAATTTATAATCTGAATTTTTGTCTATGGTTAGTGAACTAAGTTAGGCATGTTCGATATGTTGAACTCAGCATGCAAGTCAATAAAATCTAAAGACGATGTGAAGGCATGAGCTTGAAGCATATAGGGGCAGCTCCTTCTTAGTAAAGCAAAGCTCCAAGAAATGGTGGAAGGCTACTGGACTTGGCCTTCAGAGAAGAATTAAGTTAGAGAATTCGGCAAGGGATTTGGGCTAACAAAGTCCTTACTCATATTCCAACAACTACTTGCGTCTATATCTGATCACGTTCAGCATGTAGATTTTAACATACCAAACATGTGTAACTGATAGAGTTCGTCCCAACCTAGGTGAAGATTTTGTTAGACGTAACTTGTTGCTAAAAAATTTGCAGGCTCCAGACCTCGACTCAACCTCCCATTGTATTATAAAAGGCCCTTTCTAAAGCTTAGCATGCTGAATTTTTGGTCATCCAATTCACAACGAATCGTATCTAGTATTCAGCCCATGTTTAATATACATTCTCACAAAAATTCATTCTTTCAAAACTCATTTTCAACCAAATATTCATCAATAAAATAATATTACAAGTAAATTCGAAACTTTTCCTTATTTTTTAACCATATATTTTCAATCATATCAAATTATAAAATGCATTTTCTTCTCCATAATCATGCACCAAATATGATTTCAGTAAGTAATCTGGATAGTAAGACTGTCATATTTTATTATTCTACTAAGTATATAAGTAATGTCTTAAGAGTATTTTCAAGAGATTCTTTTTATATAAGATTTATTTATTTTAGAGAGTCGATGTTAAAAAATGAGTTTAAGATATTCTCTATTCGAACATTTTTTTAAAATTAAAATCGAATTTGGCTATCTATTCTTTATTATGATGGTATTTAAAAACTTACAAATTTTGATATTTCCTACTTCTCAAACTATTCAAATCATATTTGAATTAATTGTTCATTGCCGTTTAAAAGAATATGTTAAATAGAAGATGATAAATCAGTATTAATGTTTCTTGAAAACAACATTGTTGGAGCGTACAAAGAATTTTACTCTAGAAATTTAAAGATAATTCTTTATAAATATTAGTCTTGTGTAAATGTTGTAAGCAATAAAAGTGGATCTAAACATATAATAATATTAATTAGATTTATTCTTATGTTTGGAGGATGGAGTAAAGGAGGGATGCGTTGGAGCCATATGGAAGCAAGATTGGAGAGATTTGGGATGTAATTGGATTAATTTAAAAAAGTCATGGACTTGAATGGGAGTTGGAGAAAGTTCGAGGACTCAACATTTGATGCTGGAAAGAAATAGCAGCATTGATTGTTTTTGTTTGGTACGTGGATTTAAGTAAAACAGAGGATATTAATATCCTCAATTATAATAAGAGAATACTATGCTTACCTTATAATTAACGTGCGAGGCTCCTGATTTTCTTAATAGTTTATTATGAAGAAAATGCATTACTGAGATATGTGATCTTTTATTATACTATATTGTTAAGACAATAAACGTGTCAGCATGAAAACATTATTTAATAATTATTTTTTGGGCCATTAACTCCTAATAATTACTTCAATTTCAATGGTCACATAGAAAATAAGGCCATGTTTGATAGTCGTTATGTTGGAAAAAAATGGAGTTTTGAATAGTGATTTTTTGGAGAATGTGCTGTTAAAAAGTAGGAAAAAAATTTAGATTTACATGCAAAATATTTTATTGTGCAAATGTGTGAATGGAAATGAGTATCAGAATTTACGAGTTTTGTTCGAAAAGAAGACAAACGAGAGCTAAGACATACTGTCGCAATCACATTGCAATTCGAGAAGTGATTGCTATTCAACAATTGAAGATCGCATGATTATTAAGCCCCTATAAATTATAATCTAAATTTTTATCAAATTTAAAGTCAATAATTAATTTTAACTACATATTCCATAAGATCTACAACTTTTTAACCAAACATTTCATCAATTTTTTATCAAAATCTACTGAAAATCTGATTTTAATCACTACCAAACAACCCAATAATTTTTCTTACACGTCTTCTTTCTTTTCTCAACCATATTCAATATAGAATATGATATCGTAACTACATGATATTAAGCTCTTCCTCACGCCCTCTATATATTGACCTCTAACTCCCTCATTCACCATCACCAGCTCGACTAATTAATTTTTTTGCATTTGTCTCCTATTCTCTTAGTAAACCAGTCTTCATTTTCAGATTCATGGCTGCCTTCCGTGCCATACTATTGCTATCTTTATTTCTTTCATTTGCTGCATTCTCGGCAGCTCAATCTCCTCCGGCACCAACAATGGACGACTCTCCTCCGGCACCTCCTTTGGAGACATCACCAAGGCCAATGGCTGACTCTCCTCTGGGATCACCCATTGGATCCCCAGGTCCTGCTCCTAGTAATTAACACAGCATGAAAATCTCGGCATTGGCCGGTGGAGTTGGACTTCTTGCTTAAACAAATATTCACGATTGGGATTTTCTTTCGCGTTTATTGTACGACAGTAAAATTGTGTTTTCTTTAAATTTACCCTTCAATTTGTTGTGTGTTTTTGCAAGTTCATTGTATTGTATGAAGGATGTATCAGGACAGGTTCGAGTCACGGATTTGGAAGATATACTGCCTATCTATGTAACTTCTTATATTTCCTTTCTACTTCGTTGTTTCAATTCACGTAATTGAAGATTTGAATGTACGTAGTTGACATCAAAGTGTTAAACTTTTAGTATACGAAACTTGAGCATACAACAACATATTAACTCATCTATAGCATGCGAAGAACGCCATCTATCATGTCCGATAGCATATTCCATAATGCTATTATAGGAGAGTTATTAAAAGTCCTACCTCTATTATAGCTTTTATTTTATGTAAATATCAATTGGTATTAGAATTTATAGTTAGCACTCATTTTCCATTATAATTTTGATTGTAATATTTACACTTTAAAAGTATTTTTTTTCATTATGATTTTAGTATCAATAACGTTCTTCACTTGTCATATTTCCATCTTCAATAGCATTCTTTTTCTATCATAACCTTTAGGGTGCGTTTGATTGTAAGGGTGGAAATAAAATGTTTTACAGGGAAAAGATTTGTCTAGAAAATGTTTTGTAGGGAAAATAATTTCAAATGTGTTTGATTGGTATAATTTTTCACCCGAAAAANAAAAAAAAAAAATTCCTGCCAGCCGAGAAAATATTTTCCCACCAAAAAGGCGGGAAAACATTTTCATCAAAAACCCGGAAATTGCATACGTGTTGGGAAAGTCCGGAAAATATTTTCCGTGGAAAATTTCGCCTATCAAACAGCCAAAAAAGTAGAAAGTAAAAAATATTTTCCTACTTCCCCGAAAAATGTGGCCTATCAAACACGGCCTTAATGTTTAAAGCGTAGTTTTAAATAACATTCCTCAATTGCATTGTATACAATTTAAATAACATTCTCTTCCTATGATAAATTTAGTATTTACGAAAGCTACAACGAACAAAATCATGAAAATTGTCAAAAATGTTAACCTAAGTAAGCATTATAGGAAACCTCTCAATATAGAAACTATATGAAACAAAGTTCTTGTAATTTCCTTACTTTTTGAACAATTTAAATTAATATGCCTTGCGATCTATAAAAGATACAAGATAAATATACTCCGTATTCCCAGATGTGATTGGTTATGTATTTTAGCATTTCCCATTTCAAAAGTTCTCTACATTTCTATCTGGGCCAAATTTTTTCCAAGGAAAAATATTTTAAGAAAGAATGAAACTATATGTACATAATTTTTTTTACCGAAAATGTTACACCCTCTCACATGTGCGTGGGCCCACGTGAATAAAAAAACTCCAAAAAATGTGGTCCTCACACCCTATTGTGAGTATAGGTAAAAGATTAGGTATAAAAAATTATGTGCACGTAGCATTGCCCTTTAAGAAAATAGCCATTCAAGATGTCAAGTCTTATTAAGCTGAACTAAGAAGAGAGAAAACCAAAGTATAGATTATAAAACATAGAAGTGATTTCTTTGAACCCTATGTTTACAGCAAAAGTGTCAAATCTTTATATACAATTGCTTTACTTCCATAATCTCATCGTTTTTTTTTATTTGCAATAACTCGAGATTTAATCCCATAGATTTGATAAATCTTTAACGTGTAAATTCAATTAATGAATTACCCCCAATGGAACATTTGGAACATTTTCCTTTTTAGGGGAAGAGCCGTTTGCATGTGGTACTGTTAGATCAATTACATATTAATTAGTATTCGATTGATTTGTCTTAGGTTTTTCGACAAAAAATATTTGTCTAAGTCACTTCATTTCTTGTCAAAAGGCTTGTCTAAAACCATTGAGTAATTTCTTTAATAGACACAACAATTCCAGCTTTCCCTTGAATTCAAAAACTTGGGTTAAGACAGCAATTTTTACGAATAATTAAATTTGATCATATAGCATTTACATTCCTATGGCTTCAGTCCATGCCCCTTCTACCCCGGGTCATTATGCCCTATGTCAGATGTGGAATTCTTATTTTCGGGTTCCATTCTCATCTAGTATAATGTGGTATATTCACATGCAGTGGGACACTGCTGGACAAGAACTTATTCAGATTATGCATTCCTTTGTGTGCTTACTGGATGGCAAGTCAACAAGGCATGAACAACGCCCGACCTCCAACTGTGCAGATCAAAGGCCAACCCGTTAACCAGAATTCTGGTTGCTGCTCTTCCAGTCTTCCTAAATGGAAAAGAGAAGAAAATGAAAGTTCGACTGCTGTGTTATAGAGCTGTTCATGGCATGTAAAGTTAGTTCCTTCCCTTTAAGACTCGGTATACTTACTGCTGCTCATGTTATTTTAACTCTTTGTCGAAAGGTTCATTTTTTTCGAAGTATTTTATTTGAAGAACATTTGTACAGAGTAGGAGTATTCGCGATTGAACATCAGTATCTGCTTTCAGTTTATTTCTTGTTTTATTATAGTTTTTGAAACCAAGATAGCAACTTTTCTTACTCAGCAACATCTGAAAATGATAGACAGCCTGTTTTGCAAGGGCATATCTGCCCAAAAGCAACATTGAAAATGATAAACAGCCTGTTTTGCAAGGGCGTTACTTTATGTGCTGCTCGCCAAATATGAGAGCACACAAGGCCTGGGAAAGAGGACTTAAGGTGAACTTATTTTTATGTTTGGCTAACATGTAAATGATCAATCCTTAAAAGATTAACAATTGACATAGCAGTATATTAAAGGGAAAATATTGTACCAGAAATCACATCTCGTTTGAGAAATGAACAAGGATTCATGCAATCATAGCTAAACCTACTGTTTATTGTCCTTTCTCCGGGCGGAGCTGGGCAATCCTGGACTTGAATAAGAGATCTCGCTAAAATTTAAATCGTCACACCAATGGTCAATTCCAATCAATTGAGAGAGAATCAATACACATCCTTTTCAGGAGCAACCCAACTTTCTCGAATGCAGCAGACAACTCTCTGTAGATTGTCCCCCTTTCTTCCATGCTACTTGCAAAAATCTAGACAGAAGTTGACATGTAAATGGTTGTCAACTAGTTCTTGGTCTAAAGGGAATCCCTGAGAATGGATTGCCAAAAATGCTGCTGGAGGAGCTAGAATTTTCACAATGTCGGGGGGCAAACTGTCGAAGGGGAAAAAAATACGTGTTATGTATATATTTAAAAAAAAAATCAAAACTTCTACATAAAGTTAAAAGAAAATTTCAAAATATTGCAGGGGCGGTCCCCCGGCCTTGCACTGGCTGCACTACTTTCCACGTGAATTGAATTGGAATTGCAATACCTGCATAGTCAGGTGCAATTGCACTTGTGGTATGTTGCACCGGATGGATCACAGCCACCGTTTTCAGGTTCACCAGTAATCGCCACAAGAGCACTTCCCATCCCGGAAATGGTGAAACCTTGTTGTATCTCTTACGATGATCTCTCTACCTTCGATCGCAGATATAAATTTTGTAGCTTGGTGGCAGTCCCCGCACACTCTGAGGTTCTTGAAAATCCTGATTGGCGTACCTAGCGGCACTCTTATTAGTCCAAAGGCGATTGCTAGCTTCTCACTGTGCCAAAGTAGCAGCTGCACTTTCTGCTCCTCCCCCACGTCATGCAAAGAAGATTCAAGATCAGGCACATAACCAGCCAATTTCATTTTCTTCTCAAGCTCATTTAGTTTTTCGTGTATGTATTCCAGTTCCGGATGAAGCCTATCGCCTGATCTGAACTCATGAATGACATTCTTTACTTCAATCCAACTATATCCCGGTGTTTTAATAACTTTGTTTTCCTTCATAGATCTTCGAATTTTAGAAACGCTTTCCCAACTTTTCTTCCCAGCATAAACATTAGCAAGTTGAACATAGGCAGCTGCATTGAGTGGATCAAGACTAAGCAAGTTTTCAGCGGCAAACTCTGCCACATCTAAGTTTCTATGGATCCTACAAGCACCTAGAAGTGTTCCAAATACAGCGGCGTGAGGTTTGGTAGGCATTTTCTTTATCAAATCCATAGCTTCAGCTAACTTACCAGCTCGACCAAGAAGATCGACAATACATGTATAATGATCTGGACGAGGCTTAATTCCATAATCATCGCGCATCTTCTCAAAATATTCAATCCCAAGATCTACTAATCCCGCATGGTTGCAAGCAGATAAAACTCCAACAAAGGTTATCCAATCTGGCCTCATTCCTGTATTTCTCATTTCATCAAACAAACTAAGAGCCTTATCCCCATTCCCGTGCTGAGCATACCCTGAAATCATTGCATTCCAAGTGACCACGTCTTTACGTGACATCTCAAGAAACAATTTCCAGGCATCCTCCAATTCCCCGCACTTGCTGTACATGCTAATCAATGATGTCCCCACTGTTGCATCCAAATACAATGGAGCCTTGCATACAAGCTGATGAACTTGTTTCCCAAATTTCAGAGCCGACAAATTACTACAACCCAATAGAACACTACTCAAGCTCGACTCGTTAGCCTTAACTTTCAATTCCACCATCGTCTTAAAAAACTTCAACGCGTCCTCCCCTCTACCATTTTCGACATAACCTGCAATCATTGCATTCCATGTAACCAAGTTCTTTTCCGGCATTTCTTGGAAAGTCTTTTCTGCCAATTCAACCTTCCCAGACCTCATATATCCAGTTATAATCACCGTCCACGCTATCACGCTCTTCACCGGGGCCTTTCTAAATAACCTCAAAGCCGATTGCAAATCTCCAGCTTCAACATAACCTGATATCATAGCATTCCATGTCACAGCATTTCTCTCTGGCATTACATAGAACAATTCATTTGCCTCACTCATCATCCTGTTTTGTGAGAATCCTGAAATCATAGTATTTAACGACGCAGCATCTTTAACCGGAATTTTATCAAAGAAATCCTTAGCTGCTCGAACATCTAAATTATTCAAATAACAAGCCAACATAATATTGTAAGATACGGTATCTGGTTCAGGAATTCTATCAAACAGCTCCTGGGCCTGTTTAATATTTCCCGGCTGCTTTGAAATTCCGGCAAGAATTGAATTCCATGTAACTGTAGTCCTCATTTTCATGTTTTCGAACACACTAATGGCTGAACCCAAGTCTCCACATCGAATGTAGGAAGCTATTTTCTTGTTGGACAACACTATGCAGTTAAACTCATTCAGATTATAAGGTCTGTTTCCAAATCTTTGTGCTGACGCATGTGGTGAAGAATTGGTTACAAGTTTTTGTGGGTTTGAATTAGCATCAGGGTCTTGGGATGTGGAAATGGAGGAGTAAAAGCTTTGGTGTTTGAATGGTTGGGAAGTTCTCAAAAAGAAAAAGGGAATTTGGTTCCTTTTCAATCTAATCCAAGGACTATTCATTTGTCATGGTTAGAATGAAAGCTTCGATTCAGAAAATCCACTCGGGGCATAGACTTATTTCATCAAATTCATCTTCATTCTACTGCTCTTACTATGGTTGAAATGAATTTAAATTTATGAAATATTAGAATGGATGTCCTCAACCTAGAAGTTGAATATGGTTTTCGACCTTTATTTATTGTGTACTACACAAACTGATCGGTTTAATGTGTAGAATTTTTGTTTGTAACACTTTGGTCCAAATTTCAAAAAATCCGATCGTGCTCACTTTTATCAAACGTTCCTCATTTGACTGTAGTTTTTGGACCATCAAAGTCTAAAAATACACTGCAATTTCCTCTCGATTTACCCAACTGCTTCCTCTTATTTGATTTTTCAGTTAAAACGTGTCGTCACTTTTAGAGTTTTTCGTAACTTTTATTATTTTGAGGTTGAGGAACATAGACGAGTAATCTACGCTTGTAATGAAAAACTAATTTGAAGAAAATATACATAAAAGTGGATATTTAGTAGTGTAAATTATGATGGAATGCATTACATGAAAACAACTAATTTATAAGCTAGGAATTTCATATTGAAGAACCGTAGTGTTATTGATGCCATAATAGTTTGTTTTTGCTTGATTATGAATAAGGCAACTTGTCCCTACTTGTACTTCTACTTCTACTTCTAACCCCTTAGAATAGTTAGTTGAAACCCATATAACTTTCAACATATTTTCCTTGAAACTCCAGAATATTGATGTGTAAATCGCATTGGAGGTCATTGAAATTGAAAAATGTTCATGCACAACTTGAACCATTTCAATAGTGATTCTACAACGTCATACGTACCGACTAACATGTATTTTTTGATTGACTAATTTATAATTAAGTAAAAGGGGGGTTGAGAAGATTCTGTGAGTCTTACGAAACGTGTAAATTGAGTGCTAATTTTGGCCAGATAAGCATCTCCATGCATCTTGTGCACACTGGCGCAACAATTAGAAATCCATGGTCCCTAGTTATGATCGAGTGCCCAAAGCCCTTGAACAGAGAATTCCTACAACATCTAAAATAAAAACAGCCGTACGAACGGCATCAAAGAGAGCAAACAAACAGCGTACACAGAAAAGCCATGAAGTAAGTAGAAAGGAACAAAACTGTTTCAATCAAACTCCAAAATGAAACTGATTCCATGAAGTTATTCAAGAAAAAAAGGCTCCTAATGCTCTAGATATGACAGTTATTCATGAAGTCAGGAAGAACCATGAGTATAAGCCCATGGAATACATCTAAATATACACTCTGAAATGCCTTCCATGGTGATTTTACTGAACTGACAGGTTCCTGTCGATTTATCCTCACCCCCGAGCAACTAAAGATTGGAAACACCACAAAAAACAAAGAGCTCGGGAGGAAGCAGGAGATCCCTTACTTCCCAGCTAAGGAAGGGAAATGCCCAGCATCTTCAATAGATGGGGCTTGCGCATTGTTCATACTGTTTCCAGAATATCCACCTCCGCCACGACCTCGTCCCCTGCCACGACCACCAGGTCGGTAGTACTCCCCTTCAGCTGGCTTCAAAAACTCATTTATGCTCACAGACTGCACATGAAACAAAAAAACAATTATGAATTGCATTTGATTAGCATAAATCAAAACCATAGCCATAGCTCACTGACAATGGGTAGAATCAAGAGTCAAAACTGTAGTTCATAATAACAAACACCCAAGCAAATTCTAAAGCAGTAAAGAATCTCCCAGATATCTGTGTCAATATATCCCTCATTATCCAATACTTCAAATCAACAAATAAAAAAGACATTGTTATCCAGAGTGAAAGAAAGGTGCAATACAATGAAAACTGCTGGTGATACAGTGCATTATCTGCATAGAAAACTTAAGGTAACTTTCATTGTTTGAAGCCAACATCTCTCCGGGATATCCGTAAATAGTGGTGAGCTATATCAACCATTTTTCTCCTGATACATTTCAACTCTACTCTGAGAATATATTTACCATTTTTAAATATAATTACACATGCAATTAATTTAACTTTTCGAATTTACCTAACAAGTCATCATAAGAATTGTGAATAATATCGGACAGAATTCTAATAGATCCTTTAGAATTCTAGGTCACTCTATGGATTCCAAAAGATTTCATGACTTGGAAGTTCTATAGATTTTGGTGGACTTCGAGTCTATAAATATAACTACCAAGCCCTTTAGGCTCTCAGTTTTCAATGGATTTCGAACCCACAAACATAATCAAATTATTTATACCTTTGAGGCTTTGACAAAAAAAAATTAAATTAAATTCAAATTTTGTCCCCAAATTCAAAAAGGGAGAGAAGGAAATGAGTTCTCGCTCATTAAAATTTGGAATCAAATTTTCAAAAGATAAGTCTTTTGAAACTCAATTCACCAGACGTCTTTAATTATAAAATATTTAGTGCATATGTCATACATAATACTCAACACTATAATGAAAATGAATAAAGTTGCGATTTTTTTGTAATAAACGATAAGCTGATGACTTGTGAATATAATTTTCTAATAATAAAGTTAGAATTTTATTTTATTTTATTTTTTTGAGTAATCTATTAAGATGGTATTTCATTTTACTGTAAGTTCGTTTGATTGCAAGAATGGAATTTGGGTGGAAAGAAAATGAATTCCAAATAGTTGAATTGTCTAGAACTTATTTTATTGAAAATTGTCAATTAATTGTGTTTGATTGGTATAATTTTTCGCCTGAAAAATATTAAAATTTTGAATATTTTGGTGTTCGTTTGACTTTGTTTTCCATGGAAATTGTCCATTAAAGGGATAAAAGTTTGTTTCCATTGCCAAAAAAAATTAAAAAAAAAAAGTTGCCTGATGGGAAAAGTTTTTCCTCAAAAACCAAGAAAATGTGAGCATATGCGTTTTCCATCTTCCATGGAATTAAAGTGCAATCAAACAGAGCCTAAGTGTAATAAATCCATTAAAATCCAATGAATTCATTAAAATCTAATAAAATATAATTTAGTTTAAATATGAATTCTTTGGAATTCTATTCAAATCCATGAATTCAACGAGAATCCATAAAATCTTAAAAAAATATATTATACTGTAAGTTGAGGGGGCCCCCCAATCCATTGGACTCGGTAGGACCATGTGGACGGGAACGAGACCAGATTGAACTCAAAGTAACATTTTACAACCAGATGATAAATGCAGTGCTCCTTCCCCCAATATTTTTCCATTTAAACCCCAAAAGTTCAAAATTGGTATATAAATAACAGAATTGTTTATTCTCCACACAACAAATCTCCCGCTGCACTCTAAAGCATCTCAATATTTTTTGACTACTACTATAACTCCAGCAATTGGTTTATTTTAAACTCTCAATCTTTAAAGACTTCTCATCTATGCATTGATTAATTCTGTTGACTTCAGTTCATACCATTCATCAATTTCATTCTACTCATACCAAACCTATTCTCCTAATTTGTTATTGCGACTTTAAAACCCTAATTTAATTTAAAGTAAATGGGTTGGAGGTTTATCTAGATTCACTTCAAGTCAATATTTTCACATCAGATGCTTAGGATTATTTTAAATTGGATGAGAATTGAAAATTGCAGTCAAGGAGAATACACTTAGGCATATAATACGATAAGAAGGTAATTTGTGAAGTTTAGAGGAGAGGAAAAAGGGTATTACAACCTTGCAATTCAGTAAGAAGTATTAAAATAAGCATTGCCATGACGTACATCAGTCTTCCTGTGACAGAAATAAACAGATCCAATTTTGATTGAAAGCACAAAGGAAGGGAGGGAGCCAGGTATATTTCTTCGGTTTCTTTCAATTGCTCAAAACTAGCTAGTAGCAACAAAACCATATTCAAAAATTCGTTCCGGTTAACTTTTAGAAATCGCAAATTGACTATATTACTTATTATTAAATTGATGACTTGCATGTCATATCTAATTATCCAAGTATTGCAAGGGAGCAAAACATGTTTCATATAATATATGTTTGGAGGTATCAAACCACTCCAAGAGAGGCAACAAAAGGGAAAACAACTAACATTAACTATATCATTGGATAAAAATAATCTTGTAACCAGATAAAATACACTGCAGTCTGCACTTAGTAATTGTTAAATCAATCAGTTCAGTTCAGGCCACGTTAGTAACAACGGGCCTCTCTTCCCAGGTTCAACACACACTCTTAAGCCTAGAAACTGACCATCAACAGTAACCTAACAACCACCTTAAAAGACAAATTGCAAGATAGTGCAACAAGCTACAGAATCACTCCAAAATGTACAGTAATATAAGGAGTATATGAGGCATATAATTCATGCAAGGTCTTGTATTGATAAAAAGATGAAAAGGTCTTAACAAACAAGTAGACATGAAACGGGACATCCAACATAGACAATATTCCAGAACCAGTACTACGTGGACAAAATATAAAATAATCTTCAACAACTGGCTGTTATCAATGATAAAACAGACAATAATTACCAGCCAAAATCCAGATAATATGCAGCAGATTTGTCTCAAGTAGAAGTAGTAAATCTTATTCTGGTATCATTGAAATTTGGACGTACCTTTTTGGCCTTCTCAGCTGCCTCTTTACGTTTATCCTTGTCAGAACCCTATCCAAACATCAATGATTCAAACACAATCCATACACTTGTCTTAGCTTAGTTAAAAAAAAAATAAGGAAGCTTTAACCAATAACCACAACAGTTGACTGACCAATTTTATAAAGACTTCATCATCATTCTTCTTATTGGACAGAAGTTGCATGGATTCAAACTCTTTGTCCAAGCCAACCTTCCTTTCCTCAGATTTATTTGCCAGCAAAGCCTTTCTCTTCTCTTCTAGTAATTTTTCATACTCCTCCAGCGTCATCTCCTGGTGGCAGAAAGTAATTATGTAAGTCCTTCAAAGATTTAAAAAATACATAAATAAAAAAATAGAAGGTCTAGCACAACACCACAGCTCAGTTTAAAGAAAATGATGTGTAGAACCCAACAAGATAAGTTACTGTTGTCAAACAGTACTAATAACTCGTGGCAAGATATGAGAACCTAAAAGTTCCCCAAGTCCTACATCATTTGTTAATATTTGGGTGCATCTGTGCCTCCTGAAAACTCATTCAGTTCTGAGAAACAATACTAACTTCCCAGTTCAAATGCCTCAACAAAAACTGAACTAAATTAATAGTGAAGTCACCCTCTTCAACCTTAAATTAGATTTAAGCGATACTGAACTTAGACGTCGGAAATGATGTACTTCTATCAATGTCTTTGTTCAGAGATAAAATGCAGTACATCAGCCTTAAAAATGGAACAATATCAATGCAATCAGAAAAAGTTTTAAAAATGGTACTTGAAAATTGCCAGTACTTCCACATCGACAAATCTTACAACAGAAAAATCTAACTTCAGCTCATATTGATATAGTACACCTTTCCATCATACAGCAACATAAACAGCATTATACAAGATCCAAAGTTCAACAAAAATTTATTGCAAGAAGTCAACAAGAATTTTGGAAGTTGGAAAGCTAACATCAAAACGTGCATGACAACCACAATCACTGAAAAAAGGCAGCAGGTTGATTTCCACTTGCTTCTAAGTCAGGTCGGGAAAATTGGTACAAGTCAATCTCTAATTCAAGTTCAGTAAACAGAATTAGACAATTGTTTCAAGTAACAAAAGCACAAGAATATATATATTCCATAAAGGAAGCGGGCAAGGCAATTACCTTTTCCTCAGGCTCCTCCTTTTCTTGTTGTTCAGGCGCAGAAGTATCCTTGTTGGCATCTCCAACATCTTCTTGTCCCAATTGCTTCTCAGCATCAACATTCTTCTCTCCTTCATTAACAGGTTCTTCAGTTTCCCTAGATTTAGCGATGAGACAACATACAGTAACAACAGTGTCAAATAATATGAGACCCATATGAAACTCTCATCCATGGCTATATTTAAAGACTCCAGCACTTACGGCGCAATCTCATCTGTGGGTGTTCCCCAATTTCCTCGACCAGCACCCTCACGTTTAAATTCATTCCTGTGACGGCATTAATGAAAATATAAGATACAAAACTAAGACAACAAAAATTTTGAAGCACACAACTAATGTGGTACATAACTATTGCCAAAAGAAAGAGATAGAAAGGATTACAGCACAAAATGCAACAAAATACTGAGAGCTAGTAAAAATTCCCTTACCCACGTCCAGTCCCACTGCGTCGCTCAAATGCCCTCCGAGGGCGTTCACCTTCCACAGTGTCACCATTGCTGAAACCACCACGGCGACCTCCACGGAAACCCCCACCTCCACGTGGTCCACCATATGAACGTCTTTCAGAGAGCTTGCCATCATCACCTTCTTCAGAAACTCTTTGCCTGCCAGAATATCCATCGTTGTTTCCAAATGTATTTTCATCAGTAGATTCACGAATAAATCCACGTCCACGACCACCACCACGCCCAGCACCACGACCTCCTCCACGTGAACCTCCATTACTGGCCTCCCTCACTGCTCAAGGTAGATTATAGATGTGTCAAACTATAGACCAAATGACCAACAAAAAACATATTCTTAATAGACAATATTTGAGAACAAGCAACCTTACCGAGTTACTTCATGAACTAAGTTACAGAACAAATATTGCTCTAAAAGGCAAGGATTATCCGCAATTGTATGCTGCTAATAATGCATCTCAAACATAAATGTGGATGATGGAAACAACAATGCAACCTACAGTTAAACCACAATCAAGAGAAACCAGGAATATAGCCTACATCACATGATTGCAAAAAAAAAAAGAGAGAGAGAGAGAGAGAGAGAGATTGATCCTTTCCCAACAAAAGAGGGCATAACGGACCACAATCAAAGATGGGAAACCAACATTGACTCTGAAGCTTATGATTTCAAATGTCCAGTTTCATTAGTTTAGCCCAAAGGGTGCCAGAAGATGGGTATCAACTACTTTTTCTTCTAGCTAGCACACGAAATTTAACTCATTCTAAGGTACAGCCCTCAAAGTCATACTAAATAGCAAATCCACCGCAAAAGCAAGCAGAACACCAAGCTTCCTACCTAGAGTATATGTTGTGTTTACCCCTTGCCTTACCTTTTGCTGGCCCCGTGTGTGGGAAGCTGCCGCAGGGTACTATTGGGAACCCAATGGGCCGGATAGACAGTAAGGCACCGATTGAGGGCACTAAGCCGGGCTTTCCGAATGAAACTTTCTTTCAAAAGGCCGTAGAGAAACTTAGTGCTGTCAATGGATTGAATTTTGATCTAAATCTAATTAAAAGGAGATTGATTTAGGATCTTAGAATTCTCATTGCTTAGCCTTTAATTCACCTCTGACCATCAAATGAAATGTGCAATCCAATAACCCGATCAAGATCTGAATCCGATAATTCGTTAACTAAATGAAGCAAATAAGGATATAGGTCAATCCGATCCGATTTGTTATAATAATATAATATAATATACTTTATATATTATCACGTAATTTATAAAACATAATTTTTTTCCATTTTGAAACTTGTATTATATTTTACACATAATTTTCAAATAATAAATAGTATTAGATAATATTATATATTGTTAATTGAAATATTTGAAGAGTTTTTAATTTTCTATGCATTAAATAAGATGAAAAAGAATTAATTTATTTTAATAATTAAACAACTAAAGGAACCACCGAACCAACAATTGGAATTACTTTCATTGTTCTCAACTTCCTACTTCCCACATTGGATACTCACTAGAATATCAAAAGATTTGCAATCTATAAATAGGTGGGCCAAGAATCGGATAAAAATTTATCTGGGCCTTTTAATTCTAGGGATTACATGTTGACCAATATAAAAATTTTATCTTCTTAATTTCTTCAATTTCGGATCGAATCAACCGACCAAATATCCAATGATATAGCAAATCGAATATGGATTTAACAATCAAATATCCGTTGGATTATCTGATCAGATATGGCCATATCCGATCCATTGATAGCCCTAGAGAAACTCAAGATAACACGTCTTTCCAAATGAAACTGCTTGTTTACTAAAATGTGCTAAAGATACTTCCCAAAATTGGAAGAGTTAAGAAGAAAAAGCTTCAAAATTATGGCAAGCCTTAGAAACTTGTATCCAAATACAATTGAATATCAAACTAGAATTTAAGCTGCAAGAAGATGGAATATTATCCTTTCATCAAATCAAGGAAGTAACATACTCAGAATTACTACTAAATGTTTCCAGAAGTGACTGCATAAATAGGCGAATGGACAGGTGAAAATTATCAATTATAAAAGGAAATAGAAATAATTGTTACAGGATATGACTGCACAAAGAATGACAGACTGACAACTGATTCCACTAGCCAGGACCTATATAAAGAGAACAAGTGAAGATGCCATGCCATTTTCGTAAATGAATGAAAAATGATTAGCTGTACAACTACAACTACATTCAGAAATCATATAATAAATTATTCAGCGCGCATAGGTAGCAAAGAACAGAAATGAGAAACAAGTGAACAAAGGATTTCTAATACAAGTAGGACACAAAATTATAAAAATATACATTTTATAGAAAGCATATATTCACATTTATATATATATATAATAAGATTAAAAGTCTATTGGTGTTATTTATGTGTATGTTCAACAAGTCACAAGTCAACCGCTTCCAATTCTCATGACAAGATCTTAGTGTTGCTGAAACTTGCTGGAAAATAAGAAAAATGAGGGTCGAGTTCAAAAATTCCAAGGTTCGGTGCAAAATTGCCTACTGTGACATGGCAATGCACCAGGAGAAATAAAAACGTTACTAATGAAACTTAAAGGTGGTGTTAGCCTCTTTGAAAGTGGGAAAGCACTTGTTAATAGACAGAAGAAAACCCATCACCATAATCACGCAGACACACATTAATAGATATAAAGTAATAATCAATTACACCGTCCCTTCAAAATTTCATCTTATCTTTCGTTTTCTTAATTTCTATGTCGAGGAAAACAAATTCTGATCACATAAATGATCTAAAGAAGATTAACAGAATGTATGGTGGTGAGTGGTATTGTTTCCCCTCCCGTCTCTCAGCAGCCCAGTAAGAAGTCAATTACATTGCATAAACCAACAAAAGAAAAGTCATATCCAGTACATTCTCCCATGTTTACATCAAGAAACCCAGTAAAAATTACAGATGAAGACATTTATTTCATTTTATTAACTTACCAGCCTGAGCTGGAGGGAGAGGCTTGGAGGGAAGCTTAGCGGCGGGCTTAGCCGGCTGGGCCTGAGCAGGAGCCTTCTTCGTTGCGGCTGAAGCGGGAGCCGAAACCGGAGACTTCTGCTGCTGAGCAGCAATTAATTGACTCACGTCCCCAGTGTCATCATCACCCAAAAGATCAAATGGATTTACAGTAGCCATTTTCTACCTTTAGTCAATAAATACGATATAGATATAGATACGAAAAATCTGTTTCTAAAGCTCTAAGCTTTAGCCTATTATTCGAGTTACTCAGAAATTAATTAACATGATCCAAGAAAAAATAAGAAATTTTGTGTGAGACTGCGAGAGAGAGTGTGAAAGAGAGAGAGAGAGAGAGTGGGGGCTTACGGAAAACCCTAGCAAAATGCGGCAGAGGAAAGGAAAATTTCGAGCACTGCTATGCTTAAATGCCCTAGGGCTGGGTAGGCTTAGTGAGCCCATTAGTGGTTTGGGCTATTCAGATGAATTGCATAAAGGCCCAACAAATTTATAGCTGAATGTAGGAATTTTCTAGTGGTAATTACACAAAATCATACTTTAAGTATTAAACTTTCTAAAATCAGATGGAAAATTTAATATTTTCAAAATCAGATTTTTTATTTTAATTAATATTTTTATGAAATAAATATTTTTACTACCCTAATTCATTCCCCAAAAAAAATTTTATTTGCTTTCTTTCTCTACTCGTCCCTCCTTCATCTCCTCTCATTCTCCTCCCCCTCCCCTTCTGTTGCCGGCGACGACGCTACTGCCGGTGTCAGATACGTCGGTCGATGCTGCTTCGATCGTCGCTGCTCCGGCCGATGCTGCGGCGTAAAAACGGCTCAGATCGTCGCTGCTCCTGTCGTTCAGTTCGCCACTGCGCACTCGAACTCCTATAATATCTTCTTGATTTTGTCCTTCACGTCTTCAATTGTTCGTCCATTAGTACAAGCTTCCACCACAGCCCCAACACCTTGATATCCTCTCCCTAGAAAGTT